CTGTGAATGCTGCACCAAACCAACCCCTTGCCTGCCCTGGCTGGGTGGGAGGGTGCCTAGCCAGCCCTAGATTTCACCTAAGGATTTTACAAGACTAGAGATTTGAACACCCAACCTGCAGAAGGAGCAGGCAGGGAAAAATTAGCAAGAGAATTACCCCTATGACAAAGGCTCAACCACGAGAACCTTTTCTGTGGTTACATGTGCAGTGATCCCAAACAAATGGCACAGCACACAGGTCAGTTACCGCTGACAGCTCCACTCCGAGAAGAAATCCTTTGAGAACACTGTAGCATTTTAATATAAACACTAAACTTCATACTATACAACAGCACAGCCAACCAAACTTTGAGGAGAAGTGGTTTTAAGGAACACTGTATTTCTGCCACCTAAAAAGAGGTGGCAGTGTTTGCTTCCCTTAACCATTTCCAGAAAAAATGCAAACCATCTGGGCCAGTGAGAGCATGAAGAAGGGAAATAAGGTGCCAGGTCAATATATGGTTACATTTTCTTGCTTGGCTCTGCTCTCATTCGAACTTTGTGGCACCTGAGCTGGCACAGGTGGTGCAGAGCCCTGGGACACACACCAGGCTGTGCCCCTACAAGGGCTTTCCTTAACACTTTAAGATAGTTTTTCTCACTGCACGAGTCACTGGTTCATTCCTGCAACTCCCTCTGATGAATCATAGAATTTAATGGTTGGAAAGGACCTTACAGATCATTCAGTCCCAACCCCTGCCCTGGGCAGGGACACCTCCTCACTGGATCAGGTTGCTCAAGGCTCATCCAGCCTGGATTGAACACCACCAGGGTCAGGGCAGCTACCATGATGAAATGAAGGACCCAAAAGCATTTAATTGTTGAACACATAAAAGGAAGTATATTTAAAATAAAAAAAAATTGGTCAGACTGTAGAGTCAATTACCATTTTTGAAGGAATTTACAGGGCTGTTGTAGATGAGTCTTTTGGAATAGTCAGTTTATCGCAATGCCTAAACTGGTTTCTTCATTGCACAGTATTTTCTTTTAAAATGTGTGCATCTTTAAACAATTACATACATATTAAAAATCAGCATTTCTTTGCTTAAACTGAAGTAAAACGTTAATACTCTCAGACAACACAGATCTGAAATGGTGAAACCAGTAATTGCCCCCTCCCACCTTACAACAAATTAAATTGAGACAAAATTACAAACACATTTCACTACATGATTATTATTAATAAAAATCAGTTTTTCTTTTTTTTTTTCTCTTTTTTTTTATAAAGTTGCCCAAAATGCAAGGGATGTGCATAGGTTTACAACTTAGTCAGAATAATATTTTACTTTATTCCCTTGGGTACGTGTTCCCATGAACGGAATGTACTTTGCTGTAGATTACAGGTTTTATCAACACAGATACACCAACGGCATGAACGCTTGCGACTGTCCACATGCATTAAGAGTCAAGACCCAATTTCAAATTCCTAAAAGTTTTACAGAGTTCTTCAAAGAGACAGTATCACATTATCTGGATGTTACACAAAAGTACTTAAAAATACTACCCTAGGAGAAAAAAAAAAAAAAAAAAAGAAGAGCAAAAAAAGGCCTTTAAAATTTATGAATTTGTTTGGTAACCACTAGACTAATTACTTCAAATAAATAAAGGAAAGCAAAGTATTCCAATCCATAAAATCAGACTCTAAAAAGAATGTAGTGTTCCACCCCCAAGTTAAGGTAACAGAATCATATTATTATTACTATTAAAATAGATTATAGAAAGCAGCATCTATTTTGTGCAGTTTTTAGGGGCCCTCGAAATAAAAAGCTATGACTTCCAAAAATATAACATTCCAAAGGACTGAATAATACATATATTTAAAGATACATTTTATTAAAGTTGAGGAGAAATGATTAAAAAAAAGATACTGTCTCTTTAAATTAGTGTTTAATTTTTTTTTCTTTTTCCCCTCCTCCTATCTATTCGGACATGACAATAATTATATTTTAGGTCACACTACATCTAGGTAGTCTCTAGGGGCCAAGACCTGTTGACACAAGGTCAATAACGAAGAGGTTTTCCATGTATGAGGTGGTTCCCAGTAATGACATTTTGTTTTTCCATTCTCTCACGCCCGGTCTAGTAGACCCAGGAGACTGGGACCCACTGCGAGGCTGTACACACGAGCTCGATGGCTTCCTCCAGGTGCCTGATAGTTTCATCAATTTCATTGTTGATAATTGTTAGGTCAAAGTAGTGTGCATATGTTCTCTGTAAGATTTCAGACTCCTTCTGCAGGCGCTGAAGAGATTCATCCTGTTCGGCAGGCACAAAAGAAAACGGGAGAAAGAGAGGTTGGATCGTTTCGTGCTCTTCTACAACGGTTGTATACGGAGAAGGAAATGGGCAAGAAAGTCTCAGGGAGGCCTAGGTGCTTTAGCTCTCCCACCTACATCTATGGGAATCACACAGGAGAGATGGCACAATTTCCCTCTGGAAGCTGACGTGAAAACACCTGGTTACTCACGGTACTTGAGACGAAACACAACTCTAGTGTTAAAAAAGCAAGGAAGAGGATGGAAGCTTGGAAAAGCAGCAGGGACATGAGCAAAGGAGACCACATATGAATAAATTGGACACAGTGCACAGGTAAGAGCTATCAGGCCTATGTCCTGGTGAGAACACAAGAAACAGGAGGGGGAATGTGTCGGGTATCAGCTGTTCCCAGTTTTGGTAATGTTTTCTGTTCAACACCAATCTTCCAGGTCTACTTCCTGTAATAATCATTTACTGATGAGGAAGTTCTCACTCCACACTATCCCTCTGCAGCTCCTATCTCAGAGTGAGTAGTCAGGTCCTTCCCATCCCACAGGTCTGGGGTGGATATTGGGCAAAATGACTCTTGCTGCTCTGTAGTATCTATAGGTTAACTCTACTTGATTAGTCTTTATTTGATTACACTTTACTGTAAGAGAGCTTTAGGCTGGACAAAGCACAGACACAATGACTATAGTTTTTGCATTAGAAATTATTCTGGGAACAGCATTTTTTCTCACAAGAGACATGCCCTCTACCCTTTTTCTGTTTAAGCTTTCCAAGTATTTGCAATTACAGTGACGAGTAGCTGTGGAACAACAGCTTTCAGGTCCTCTGAAGTGAACAACCTGCACTGAGACAGTTCTCCTTTCCTGTTGCAATGAAACCAGTTACTTTGGGAGGAGAAGTTCTGTACCAAAGTTACAGTTCTGCTTCTCCCCTGAAGCTGCAGCCTCACATGGGGAGGGGGATGTGGTGTGGTGTAGTCTTCACTTGATAATCACTACAAATTTCACTCTAAGTCAGACAAATACTGTCCACACACACTTCCATACAGGGGATGCTTCTGTGAGTCGTATTTTGGAATACCTAAAGTTCCTAGCCTGTTGGAAATGTAGGACATTACTTCTTTCATATACTTCTAGGGGCAGTAATAAGTTTGGAATACACCATTGCAGCAATTTTCAAATAGGTTCAAACTTTCAAAAGTTCTGCAAAAAGAAAAGATATTACCTTTCTTGATTTTTGTTTTATTCTGGGACCAAATTTCACCTGTGTTTGTGGTGGAGTATCTATTTGTACATTCAAAATGATGTCAGATTTGGCTGTTTCCACTGTGTCTGTAAAGACTTAGTAGAGCAAATATTTTGAGTAAGTGTTAGCTTTGAAGATTAATGTTGGCATTTAAGTTCCTCTCAATTTCTGTAAAATTTCTTAAACTTTGAAGAGTGAACATCCCAGATTATTTGCCAAGAAGCATATTCTTCAGCAGTTATGCTCTCAATAGTGTCAAGAAAGAAGATATCTATCAAAACGTTTGCCTAGCTGCAGACAGATCAATCAATGGCCACAACTTGAGCAATTTCACATTTGTAGAGCACAACATCCACCTTTTCTTCTTCCCTCAGCTCTCAGGCAATAAGCATTTTATGTGGGACTAGTTGCAGTGTGTCTATTATTGGAACAGACTTTTCTAATTCAGTTCACTTTGCTAATATTCTCTCCTTCTCCACCATAGCTGAAAGGAGTGAAACGTGACTTTATCCTCCTGTGTCCATAAAGGCCACCAGTGAGACCTTCAGTCTCTGAGGGTTTTTTTTGGCCTGAATGTACATAGGACAGTAGCTGCCACTTGTGACAGTCAAAGCACAGATTAAGAAATGACCAACATTCCCTTCTAAGGCTGTGGACAATGTATTAACACTCCATCAGGCCTTTGCCAGGTTTGCTTCAACAGAATGAAATTCTTACTTTAACAGCTGGTGGACTGCAAACTTCTTAAGAAAACATCCTTTTATTCTTTGGCTGTAGGAAGGGAGGAAGCATAGCTAAAATTCGGAAGAATTGGGCTCAATGAAGATTTAGATCAAAAAAGTGGAGTCTGTCAACTCCTCTTTGCTGCTGTTTGGGCAACAGGAGGTAGGAAACAGCTGGAGGAAAGAGGAACTACCCTCAGGTTTTCTGGTATGCTCTCTCCTCTCTCTGTTTTAGCACAACAATAATCTGATTCAAGTTTCCTTTGTGATTAGACAGCTGGGTGCATTCTGAGAGATTTCTGATACCATTTAAATTGCTCACAGTGCATTGCTGTAGTCATTGGAAAGCACAATATTTTGTCTCCTAACTCTTATTGTGGGGGCATTGATTACTGGGATGTTTTGAGGCTAAAATGCCTCAAGAGAGATACTTTTAATATTAGACCTCTGCACGTTTTACCATGAAGTTCTGATGTACAGTTGTAAGGGTAGAAATTTGACTCTCTAAGTCTCTTTTTTTACTAGCAGATAATTTTAGCGCAGATATCAAAAGTCATTATTACATTAGACTTTGATTCCATTGGCAAAGTCATGTTGAGTGGGAACAAGCATATCTACATTCTAAAACTACTGAAATAACCAGGACTACCTTTCAGCCCCTAGCTGGTACTTACAGGCAGTTTTCTGCACCATTTTGGCAGCTATGTACAATTAGTACGAATGCAGGAAAATGAAAAGAAAAGCAAAGATGAAAATTTAAGAAAACATAAGAGGGGGGGGGAATAAAAAAGGACAGTCATTTACGGAAGTGTTCTCAAAAAGCATAAGTCAAATAAACAAAGCAGGGCAAGAGGATAACAGAAATGCAAATGAACCTTTCAGAAAGGAAGCATGAATGGGAAATGGGAGACACACATTCCTCACCCTTCTTCATGGCCCTGCAGGCTCTGACACACAGACAGTTTGCCATTCTCCCTTGGTGCAGAGCCCAGTAAACCCTGAATAACAGGGCCCTGTGTTTGGGTAAGGTCTGTGCTGTTACCAGTGCCTGTCCCTCCCTTTCCCTGGGTCTGGTTCATAAATGAGCATGTTTTGTAAGTGTGGCCTTGGCTCAGCAATTCACGTGCCTGGGTCAAACCTTGTGTGCACAGAGACTTCAGGCACAAGAGCTTAAACTAAAGACACAGTCTTACAGCAGGAAGACAAATATTTAGAACAGAATGTTTTACTTCTAGGAATATTTCTTTGGCAGCAACAAGTATTTCCCCACCACTACGATGAAAGGTACATTCCTGTCCTCTTCTCAGTGTATCACAGAAAACATTTTTTTTCCCTCATATGAATTGCCCTAAATATCTCTATTATATCCTACAGCTGGAAGACTAAAAGTGAAGCACTGCTGGCAGATGAGTGAGGCTAAGGAAGACTATTTGGGAGCTGAGACAGGTATGGAGGTGACAAAGCCAGGCACTTACATCACTTAGATAATAAATTCACAGGGTCCCTGGGTGTCTGAGTGCTGCTGGAAACACAATGCTTACTCAACATGGCCTAAGAATGCTTCTGGTTTTTCAACTGATGCAATGCTATTTGCTTACACAAAGGTAAAATCAGTGTAGGTTACAAAGTGTTAGTATTTTCTCAAGACTGCACTGATTTACAGCATTCAGCAATACACTGTCACTTCACTCACATGACAAATTGTGATGTTCTGAGGGATCTTTGTCTTTACCTCTTGCAATGTGCCAGTTAGGGTATGGGGCCACAAGACACAGTGAAATGACATAACTTTTTGCTGTGAAAGTGAAAAGAGCCTTCTTCCCCCTTCTGTCTCTCTTCCTGTCTCTATTCCTTCCCTGCTTGGTCTGGCATTGGTGCTTGTCAAGAGCCTTAATGAGCAGCGCAAAAGCTGACAAAAATGCAATTTTGAGCTAAAGTGGCTCACTAAAGGACCTGGTAAGTGCCATGGCCAGTGCAGATTGGCAGTATGAGTCTCAGAAGCAGAAGAAGTGCTCCCTTCAGCAACAGTGAACTAGTAGAATGTCTCAGCTGCTGGGAAACTGCAGTGTGAGGCCAGTAGTTTTCACTTTCCTCTATTGTAATAATTCAGGGTATTTGCATTTAAATATGTTTGTCTTGTTTCTTATTCTCCTTCAAGCCTCTGCACTGATGTCATAGTTTCATATCTATAATATTGTAATCACATTTCTCCAGGAACAGGGTGCAGAGCAGAGGGTTTCTGACCTTACGTTTGGATGATCAAGGAGACATCTAGGAGATCTGGAACAGATTCATGGTCAAATCCAACTGACTGAATACTTTGATATCATGGTTTAAAACAGGTTGACCAAATTAAGTGTTTGTAAAAATACTGTTTGCTCTTGTGTGAGCTAAATCCAGAATTGTTTGATATCACCTGAGAAATCAGTAGCAATCTGCAGAGAGAACACTCTGGAGAAACTAAGCAGGAGATTTAGGATGTGGACCTCCATGAACACTTAACATTATTCCACAAGTAATTACTCCTTTGGTCAAAGCTTGCAATACTCCGACAACAGGTGTCAAAATTAATAAGCCTAATTCTAATGTGTATTTGCTATGTAAAAAAAATGCTAACAGTAAAGATGGGATGACAGCAGAGTCATGCACACCCACTTTGCTCAGGCCAGCTGTGAACTAGTGCCAGCACTGAAACTCAGCACTGAGTAATCTGTGCTAACGATTTGCCAAGAATTTGGAAATGAGTTTTTTGAGCTGGGGCAGGGAATGAAATAAAAGAATATGTACTTTTAGTACATCTCACGTGGATCCTTCAACTTGAAGTTCACATTTTGAATTGGTTAATAAACAGTAAATGTATCTCAGTCAATCATGCTGTCATTCAACTGTCTTTCTGCCTCTTCATTTACAGACAAGGAAACAATTAAGAGAGTCTGATCTGCACATCTGAATCTCATCCTTGATTCTGTCTGTGACAGGACATTAGATTGCAACATGCCATACCTCATTAATGCCTGGGGTAATCGTAGGTGCAGCAATAAAAACAACAAAAGGAGCAAACTCTGCAGTTCTCAGGACCTTCAATGCCTAGGTGAAAAAAAATCAGACACTTTAGAGGAAACCCCTAACAATCAATGTGAAGTAAGCTTAGTCACACAAGCAAAAGACACAAATTCATGATTTAACAACACTGGATTTGTGTTTAACTGAACTGGAGTCCTACTTTTATATACTTCTAATTCATTACCTGAGGTTCTACATCAAGTATTGCAATTAGTCCCTGCTCATGGATCTTTCGTATTGTTTCCAGTTTTGTCCCATACATTGCATCCTCATGGCTGCCATATTCCAAATATTCATTGTTTGATATATCCTGCATCATTTGGTCATGTGATACAAAGTAGTAATTTTTCCCATTTTCTTCATCTTTCTTTGGAGGTCGGGTTGTGTCTGAAAATACAAAATAGTTTAGTACAATGGCAATATGATTAAGCTTATTTTTGTTTGGTTTATCAATATTTATTCGCTGAATGATGACCTGTCAAATCACATATAGAAGAACAAAGTGGTCAGAATGACAGGCACTGGGAAAAGCAGGAGACTGAGGGATGTGCATTGGGAAAAGCAGGAGGGGGAGGGATGTGGAAAAGGTAAAAAATCAAAAGGTAACAGAGGAAAAACAGAATGCCATAAATAACCTTTACACGGTCAAGACTGTAAGATCCTTTCAGCTGCTTTCAACAGCAAACAAAGGCCAGATCTCAGTTTCATAGTTTCTACACAATTCAATTAACATTTCACCCCGGGGGCAAACACTGAGCACAATCCTGTTCATCAAGGATCTGGATGATGGGCTAGAGTGTGCCCTCAGCAAGAATGCCAGTGCCACCCAACTGGGAGGAGTGGCTGCTAGGCCACAGGGCTGTGCTGCCATCCAGAGGGACTTGGCCAGGCTGGAGAAACAGGTTGACAGGAATCTCATAAAATTCAACAAGGGGAAGTACCAAGTCCTACACCAGGGGAGGAACAACCCCATGCACCAGAACATGCTGGGACCAGCCCAGCTGGAAAGAGCCCTCCAGAAAAGGCCCTGGGAGTGTGTCCTGGTGGGTATTCAGTGGAACATGCAGCAGCCTATGGGCCATGCCAAGGGCTAATGGTGTCCTAGGCAGCATCAGACAAAGTATTGGCAGCAGGTTCCCAGCCTTAAGACAGGATTTGGCTCAGCAGAACTGAGCACCTCAGGTAGAACAACAGGTGTGTTGTCAAGGACGATACAAACAATTTTACAGTACATTGAACATTGCTACTTACGAGGAATGGGGTAAGCAAATCTGTCTGGATGTTTTGTGATGAGTGTGTTTTTTATGTGTCTTCTTCCGACACCGTGTGCACCTAATCCACAACACAAAAAGGAATTAGAAACTTTCCACCAGAAAGGCTTCGAAACTATGCTGTGATGTTCAGAATAATAACTGAGAATTACCTAGTAAGACTAGTGTTTTCCTTTTGAATGCTGGCAGCTTTACTACTTCTTCATATGTGACGAGATCTAATTGATCAAACACTAAAACACAAAAGAAACCCCCCCAGGGATAAGAAAAAAAAGGCATATTAAGGGTGACAATTAATTCTGCTACAAATGAAAATTTGAGCAAGTTTTAGATTGACAATACAAAGTAATAAGTTATGGAAAACAAAATCATTCATTATGCAATTTGAACAAGAGTGTTCGTTTAAGAAACTGTTAAAAAAACAGTAACAAAGCTACTGAAATGCTCAGCAAAGTTTGCATGTCCTTTCATGCAGTATTCAGCAGACCACGAAAATCAGCTAAACCAGCATGCCAGTCACGTTTGCATGCCTAAGAAATAGCAATACTAAAGAAAAATCTGTAGACAGTGACCAACATGAATACAATATGAGAACATCTATTTACACTGAAGATAGGGATACTTTCATCATCGTGTTTTAACAAGATTTATGAGAAATGCGTAGAGAAGAGTGATAATACTTTGTGGTATTTACTCTCTCAAACCACCACCACTTAACTGTAATTAGAGTTCTCTTTAAACACACGTGCTAGTTAAACTGACATGCTTTTGAAGCTTGTGACAGAATGAGTAATTCTAATGAGAAGTGATGGCATTACATAAAAGAACCTCCACCATATTTAGGGAAAAATTGTAAAAGTATTATTTCAGATATAATTTCAACTGCCGTTGAAACTGGATGAATTCCATCATGCCTATCAATCTCTTGTCAATTGCCAAGGAATATAATGATTGACAAATCAAGTTTTGTTCATTAAAACCAGCTTATTCCTCCTGTGCCAAATAACACATCATCTCTGGTAGCTTGTGCAGAATTCTAATCAAAAAAAGGAGCTAGGAGGCCATTAATTCTATTTGTAAAGATTACATTAATCAACAATTGTGAGCAGAATAATGAACAAGAGTTTTCAGTTCTGTATTTATGCACGCTATGAAAAGAGCTAAGAGATCTCTGAGCGTTTCTGAGTCTTAAGTGGTGTATTGTCCTTAATTATACCCCATCAATTTTTCAGGATGAGCCTGGATATCTTCCTCTTCCCCACTCAAAACCTCAGGAAAGTAGGCAGTGGTGGGAGCTTTAGTTTGCTGCAGAAGTCTCCAGGCACTAAGATCAGCATTAAGACCACAGAGCCTACAAGAAAGCACATGCTCACATGGACTTGAGTACCTGAAGCAAAAAGCAATGTGCTTATTTAACTTAATGTATTTCTTTCTATGGGGCAGATTTTTTAACTTGATGTCAGTCTTTTTACCCTAGAGAGAAAGTACAACTACTTTCAATTTGGTCAAACTACAAATCAGTCAATTGACATACTCAACTCAAGACCTTGAAACGATACAGATATGAAAACTTCCTGGTCCATTTGAAGCATTTTGAATTTCATCCTGGAAAAGAATCTCTTTCAACCTTTCCCCAAATACTACAAACAAGAATTTAGTTGCATTTTTCTTCCATTCCACAAACATGGATTCTTACTACTGTCCTTTTTGCAACTTTGCAGTATTTAAACTAATTAACAATTCATTTCCTATTGGAAAGGGTTAAAGACCTACAACATATTGAACACTAATTCTAATGACCTAGGTCTGGGAGTATCTTTTCCCATCGATAATAATAAAAAAACTCAATCCTTTATTTCTTTTTGAACAAAACCATGTTATGTTAGACACAAACAGCAGGAACAAACAACAGAAATGGTAACATTAATGCTTTCATCACAGACTAGCAGCATGGAGAGGATGTGCCTCAGTCTACATGGATCAGCTAACCATGGGAGGGTTTTCAAATGCAAATGAAAAATGATTCATTTTCCAATATAGAGAAGATATGAGGAATACAGGGCACATTTAGAGGCTGAACTTCAATGCTTCTGTTACTAGCTAACAAAGAAAAGGAGTTCTTGAAAGGAAACAGTAAGAAGCAAATAAAGAGGCATTGTCACTTGACAGGTTACTTACATGCACAGAGGCCATTGGGAGTAAGACAGCATGAAAAATGTACAGGGGTCATTGAGATATGGCTTGTAATATATTAGTAAAATAAAAAGTATATGCACAAAATAAACTTTCCCATGCAATAGTCTAAACACAAGGCAAATAAATCACATTAAGAAATGATAAACATATTTTATAAAAGCTTGGCAATTTTCTACATTATGCATAATATGAAGCATAGTTCTAGTGTGTTCCCAATGCTGTTCTTTTCTGAAGCCCTGCAACAACATTTCAGTAAAATAAACAAAAATATATCTAGATATCACTGCAATATATCTCTAGAGCATTCATAAAAATGTCAGCAAACCTAATAATGAAAAAGATTTCATTTTTTTCCTCTAGGCTTTGGTTTAAAACTGACAGTGATAAAACCTATGGCTGTGAAATTGTATCTTGAAGAATACAATAATATGAAGTATTGAGGAAAGACAAACAGGATTACATATTTTTGGTAAAGGATAATATATTTGCTTCTAATTCTAAAAAGTAACTGAAATTGTCTTGTCTTTACTTCATAAACTATTTCTGGTTTGCAGATTAATCTCATTTCTAGTTCCAGTAATATCCCAATATACCAGACCAGCTCTTAACTCATTGTGTGGCCACACAATTCCTAGTTGACTATGAAGTATTTGACTAGGTCATTTCTCAGCATCCCAGTTCAGTCTCACCCTAAGACAAAAATAACATGGAAGTCCAAATAGATTACACACTGCTGATCAATTTATTGAATTTTACACTAGGATATAAGAGAAACAAACTGTACTTTCCTGTAAGAGCAACATTTTGACATTAATTATACTTATTTTGGATCCAACAGGAGAAAAGACCTGGGTTTTATTCTGAGAAAGATGCACTGAATGCTCACAAAGGTCAGTGCTGCTCTGACTAACTGTGATAGATAGTTCAGAAAAGGTAAATTCATTACCACCTTAGTTAAACTCATGTGAGCACCACAGAATTTCACTGAACCTCTTTATATCCAAAATTTGGTGGCATTCCCTGAAACATTACTGGCATCACCTTCAGTACCTCAAGGACACTAGAATCAATCAACATTTCTCTTAGAAATCTTAATTCCAATCTGCACTTTCATTAACTTTTCGACTTCTTAGGGGGAAGGGGAAGTGTTATTCTGAGAAAAACAGCTTCTTTTACGGGCATTATGATAATTTTCAATGATCACATTTCTAATTTTTGGCAAACACTGTGCTCTGATGTAAAGTTCCTAGCAGCACTGCTGGTGGCAGGTACTAAGGCAATCAACCTCCTCCAAAACATCCACCTACATCAAGACAGCAAAGTCTAGATTACCTTCCTTTCAGGAATTTAATTGATACAAAGTGACTGTGCAGATAAAGGAAAATGTGAAAATCTGGATTTATATTGTTTAATTGGTGTATTCAAGAATGCAACTGGAAAAAAAGGCCCCAGAAATTAAAGCAATATATAAAACACTTTCATTATGCTGTTTGGACAGATCTGTCTTTTCATTCTAATCTAAATCTCTGCAAGGCTCCCAAGAGACCACAACAAAATAAATATCACAGAATGTGGTATCAATGCATAGAAAAGTGTTGAAAAGCACTTTCAACATATTGAGTATTTTATATTAAAAGAAGAACTAAATTCTGCTCCTGACTGAAGGGCTCTTACTTCTTAGCTACTAAAACTAATGAACTTTGCTTGGCAAGGATCTCTTACTCTACACTTCACTTTCAAAAATTTCTAAACCAATTCATTTTTAAAACAGTCTAACCAGAAAACTAGAACTCAGGATTCAGGCAGAAATCACTGCAAGGAACTTCGACAGCTTGTTCTACTTGGTCAGTGTAAATAACACACTGACTATGTATTGGCTCTTATTCCAGTTCTAACCATAACCCTTCCAGAAAAATGCTCATTCATGATGTTTTCACATATATAATCTGCAGTTTGTTATAGTTACAAAGACATATTAACAAAGATGCTACTGAGAAGTCTTCTGTAGAACACAGTGCAGTTATATAGGCTGCAAAAATTGTATCCTGTTGGTTTCTAATGCTCCTTTAAACTTAAACCCCCAAACAGTGTAAGCCCATATTATACATATTATGATGCACTTATTTTGTGGCAGTTTGCCTCTCACTGATTGAGCTCTATGTTTAAATAGAAAAGAACAGGCAGAGCAATGTTGGCATAATTAGAATTTTAGTTACATTTTCCTAAGCAGCTCATTAGGTTTATGTAAGTGCCAGCTGAACAATTAATGGCAAGGTGTAAATTGCAAAATAAATGGAACTTCTTAAAGATACCTGCGTTTGTTTTTTTTCATACCTGCATTGTGCTTTGCCAAATATTTGTCTTTGTACTGCTTTTTTTTCTTTCCAAACCAAGTACAGCTGGCCTGTTGCTCCTGTTTGGTCTTCTCCATGGCAATACAAGCAACTCGCCTGGAATAAGGAGGAGGAAAAAACCTTTTGTTGTAACCAAGGCTTTTTTTAAAAGCTGCACAGAATGAATGAGAAAAATAAGACTTTTTTTATAGAGCAAGAGTACAGTAAAAGTTTTCAAACCCCCTTTTTATGATTTCAAAGCACTTACATACAGAACTATATTGATAAAAAGAACATCATCTTGGTGGCAGGTCATTAATGCTCACAGATGAAGTGGGGAGGAGAGGAAGGGTAACTTCTGCAATGACTCTACACCACTTCAGAGCAGATCAGTGCAGAAGAGCACAAAGTCTGAAAAGACCAGCATGGTCTAAATTACTTCAGAGCAACTTGTGTTGTGTTTTGGACCTGTTTTGAGGCCAATCTTTAGGGTGAAGTATTGCAAGTGATCCTGTTGGAATGTTCCAGTGCCTCCCATACGTCAGGGCTTGCAAGGGAGTTCCTGAGATGCAACTAAAAGTCTTGTCTACCTCTGCTTCTCTTCTAGCAAAATCTCCCTCAGCTAGAACAGGTGGCACAGGTGCTGTTAAACCCTCTACAGAACTCTAGTTCATTTATGTAAGGAAATCCTGTAGGAAATATTTTGGGCTAGTTGATCCATATTGATAAACTATATTGAGTAATGGCCATAACTTTCATGGCCCAAGACTTGCTTAGCAGAATTCATATTGATACACTTAAAATTTTACCAAACAACTTCTATAAGAGGTTGTTTAAAGGCTTTGAATTGCTTTTGTGGTACTCAGTGCCATTAGAATCATGGAATTTAAGGGCTGGAATGGACCTTACAGATCATCTAGTCCCAACCCCTGCCCTGGGCAGAGACACCTCCCCACTAGATCAGGTTGCTCAAGGCTCATCCAGCCTGGATTGAACACCACCAGGGCTGGGGCAGCCACCACATCCCTGGGCAACTGTTGTCATCCAGGAGTCTTTGCACTGTGATTTTGTTCTACTTGTTGGCTTTCACAAGGAAAATGAAAAGAAAACCCCAGAACTCCCTAAATGATCTTTCTGCTTGATATCTTGCTAAAACCTTATTCCTGCAGTACTGTAAGCACTACTAATGCTTACACTACTAAACACTGTGTAGAAGTTGACTCCCTTATATAAACAATTTGCATGTAACCATCTTCAATCCTAGATTTCTACAGTGTACTCAAAAGCACAATGTTTATTAACACAGGGGTTTATTTTTTTAATGTAGCCACAGCTATTCCAAGAAAAAAAATCAATGCCACACAAACTGAGGCCATACTTTTTTTTTTTTGGAAGAAAAAAATAATAAAAAAAACTAGCCATACAACAATGAAAAGCATGAAAGACCGAAGTAAAACCAAAGCTATATTAATTTTTCTAGAAAACTGAAGTCATACCATTCTTGAAGTTCAGGAGAAGGAATAAGACCTGCAGTACCATTTTTGGAGTTCTCAAGTTTACCCTGCCACCAGTTGTGATCATCTTTGCTAATGATTTGGATAATATCACCAACTCGGAACCTGATGCCAGCTTCTTTGCAAGGAATGAGGTCATCCTTTGCTGGATCATATTCAAATTGTGCTCTTACATAGATCTATAAAAAAGAGTTTATAAAAGACACTGCAATATTATTCCTGGGATGGTATTAAGAGTAACAGGTGAACATTTGATCTGTGAATGTAGCTACACAAACTGGTTGCAAGAAGCAAAGGAAGAAACAGAATGGCAAAAGGAGAAATGATAGCTGAAAATGAAACAGAACACCCACCCCAGCAAACGATGGAGACACATGATGTTATTTTGAAAGCTCATGGCTTCTACATACTGCAAAACCTCAACAGCAAAAATGGAATAAACTCAGAGAGTCCCTCAAATCACAGTTAACTGCCACAAATCATTACAGACTGTAAACCAGCAGCTTACATCTACTACAACTTGTACACTGTACTTTCCAACTGAAGTGCCTGGGGATGTTTCAAAAATTTGTATGACAGGAAAATTTATCAGACAATGTAAAGGACTTCAGCTTCATTAGCGATCTCCAGCACCTAGACTGAAATTTTGAAAGATTTAAGACATTAAAAAATACCTTTTTGAAAGATTATATAGGAAGTCACCTCTCACATAGTTACTTGGGAGGAATCTGTGAATTCTCTGCATGGGTTTGTCAGTAAAAGTCTACTCCCATACTAATAACTAACAATTTCAGTAAGTTATTCTCCAAGGAACATTAACAGAAAGAATTCAGATTCTGACTTCGCAATTTAGAGCAATATACCAATCTATCTTTGTGTGTTAGTGAGGTCTCAACCCTAGAAAATAAAAGTGATCTCCGTTTTGGTTGCTAATTACAGCCTTGATGCAGTCAAAGGATCTTAAAATCGAAATTAAAGGTCATGCCCTAGATGGGTAATTTCTACAGTTTAGGAACTTCAAACATTACCCTACAGCATCTCAGCCAGCCTTGTATACACATACTGCTGATTTTCTTACTAAAAATCGATTAGATTTAAAAAACCTCCAACAATTACATTGCAAAGTGACATACTTTGTATAAACTGTAACCATCACTTTGCAACTTTGCTCAAATTCTGCTCCAAAAATAGCTGTAACTATGCAGTGTTAGCACTATTCATGGCACTTCCAAAAGTTCTGTAGTAATCCAATCTGCAACCCAACTTATGAATAAATTAACTTAGAATGGCTAATCACTTCTATCTTATATCTGATATATTTTTATCTGTATTTTACCATATTTTATCGCTGTGTTTTACAGTGAAAGCATCAGATGATAATACCAATATAGAACTAAACTTTGAATATACTAAATCTGACCCTGGTTCTGCTGTGCACTGAGTGTGTGGGTTTAGACAAGTAACCCAACTTTTAATTACCTGAAAACCAGGATATTTTTAAACCAACTACGTTTATTTAGAAATTTATTTTCCATTAATAATCAGTATTGAAACAATCCCTTATTTTGCCTCAACCTTATCTAACATAGGTCCAGAAACACCAACAGTATTTATTTTTACCATCTAGACACTTTGCTTTTCAAGTCCCTGCTCGTCTGAGCCATTATCCACCTTATATTTGCAGTTCATGGAACATTACAGACCTCCTTACAGATGAAAATGTATATTATCCAAGCCCTGACTACTTCCAAGGATAACAAGCTACCAGAAAAATATGCTGATCAGTGGGAAAAGACTCTTGAAAAAAATCAGTTAACTATAAATGGTGTAAGAATGAGAAACACCATTGCTTTGATACTGCCTTTAACAAGTCTCCTCCTGGGAAAAATACCCTATGAGCAGCAAACAAAAACCTAACATAAGAGCTTGGAAGGTCTTTCATGGAGCCTTTCCAGGTTTACATTCAGGCAGTTGGAAACTTCAGAAGACAATGGAAAGTTGAAAGCTGAAAGCTATAAAAATGGGAAATGAAGTGAGAACAATCCACTCTTGTACTAGATATTCCAGCCAAATTAACCACAGGGCAGTATGAAAGATTTTTCAAAGACAAGAGATAATGTAGTTAACTGACTTTTTGAATGGAATTGCAAGAGCTATTATAAAAATTCTTGGTGGAGAGAGGTGGAGTCTACAGTGAAAAGATTAAGAGAGAGATTCTGGAAAGACTTTATATATATATAACTGCAGCAGTTCCTGAAGATGAATCACAAATCACTTGACGGTATGTGTTGATTTGGAGGCTGCAGTAAAATAAATACAAAAGAATTAAAATTGCAAAGAGGACGATAGGGAATCCTCTGCAGAGCCCTTAAGGGCTTTCCTGGAATTCTCTGGAGAGTGCAGATATGTATCACCAGCAGGTCAAGGTAACAAAGCTAAGGGAGGTGACTGAATCTGGATCTTGGGACTGAAAATTTAAGAGGCAATCCTCAGACTTAGGAAACCTTAATAGAAACTGTCCTTAATGTTTTTCTTTGGAGACCTTTGCTAATGTTAACAATTAGTTATAGACCAACTCAGGCTTTAGACTCTTTGTCAGTACAATGTTTAGAGTATTAAACACTTGCCCTACCAATCCCCATTTCAGCTAAAATATACATTGAAGCTTTCCTCTGTGACAAAAACCTGCACAGGTCACTGCACAACAGGAAGTTAGCAGTAAGTCCATTAATGCATTCTGAACTAAATCAACATCTCCAGTTTAATTTACAAGGACTTTGTACCTCTCACACATATGGACACATGGGGGAAAAAAAAAAAGCTATTTTGAATTAGCCACAAACAAATGAGTTAAAAAGAAAAATGAAACAATGGAACAAATTTTCCAAGCTTAAATGTTTTAGTCCAGCACATACAGAATATGAGGGGGGAAAAAGAAAAGCAGGGATGTTTACTAGCAACTAAATTTACAAAAATTCCCATGGAGGATATCTATTCACCTGTCGTCCTTTTGGTTGTGTTGTCGATGGCAAGTCCTGCAGAATAAAGTCAACCCAGGAGAAGAAATTTTCATTTTACTTTTTAAGGGTACACAACACCATTTGTTAGTGATTCATACTACATTACAGTAAAATGGTAAGTTAGACAAAAGTATAAATTGACTGATGTTTAGAAACCATTTTTTTTTCTTAAAGAAAAATCAAACCCAGGCTGTTTAGCAGCAAGCTGAAGAAAGCAGGTAAAAAGTTTAAGCAGATAGAGAATGTGCTTTTTAATAAATAATTCAGCATCTTCAACACAAAAGCACCAACAAGTGAAAGAGGCTCTTTATGTGAATGCCTTTTCCACTTAATACTTAAGTCTTGCTTTTAAAGAGGAGGCTATTAGAAATATTAAAAAAATTATTATTAAAAATGTATAATGTGATTAATTGTGCTGAGAATGAAGATTATATCTACTAATCATATTACAAATTCAATTTAATTCACAAAAAGGTCTTAAAATTTTTCATCCACACAATTATTTTTCATTCTACTAATTCATAAGCACTTTACCTTGTGGCAAATCATTTCTAAGTTGCAATTTCTTTTATAGTTAAAGGAGCAGTTACTCAGTTTGGCTTTGGTTTTGGCTTTTAGCTAGTCTCACAAACTCATGATATTGACAGCACTCACTGAAGGAACTTGTGTGCAGTTACTACATTGGTCCAAACAACGACAAATGATAAACGACATGAATTTTAACATTAATATACTTTAGGAAAACAGGAGATCGACAGCACCTTTCTACCTGAATACATACAAAACAGAAGTACTTTGTGTTAAAGATGTGATGGTAAGAGCTTGGTTTGTAGTGCAGTTTAAAGCCACTTCCTTTTGCTTTCCATATCCAGGCAAGGCTCATGTTTCACACAGTATGTGCACGAACCACGACAGCAGAGAGCACACCAATTCCTTAACTCAGATAGCGGAAACCAGTACACGTTCCAGAGGGCTCTCAAAACACAAAACTCAAAAAAAAAAAAGAGTCTAAAATGTCTTGGAATACCAACTGCACACTTATTCTGTCTTCAAACACTGCTTCCAAAGTTCAGGATGGAAAGAAAACTTCCACTTTAAACTTCTGCTTAGCTCTGAGGAAGCTGCTGACAATGACTTAAGGATGACTGAAGTGTCACAGTACAGTTATTAACATTTAGGTCACTATATGGTTTTTAATGAGAAGAATATGTTGGAAAAAAACCCTTAAAGGAAAAAAAAAAAAGAAACTGGGGAGTCACATATGTAATAACCTTGGTTCTACCAGCAGGACAAAGTTTTCCACTGACCACACAATAAGTAGAACAGTAATGGCAGATGAGCACCAACAAAACTTTCACACTTTCTCTGTGTGGAACTGGAAATCTTACCGAAACAGAATTGTTAGTGCTGCTATGACCATTAGCTGGGGACTGTCTGGATGTGGAGGGGGAATCTCTCTGAAATAAGACACAAGGTTCATTAACAACACAACACTATCACAGGAACACAGATATATTGCAAAGAACAGTTACATCCACAGCCTTATAACCATTTGCTTAGCTGCTTCGTTTGTGAAGGTTTCCACACTACAAACTCTGTAAGTCTGAAAAGTTTTTCCATAGTTTAAGATTCAGGTTTGACATCTTGATGCGATCTGAGGTAGGAACTATTTTTATGTTGCCTTAGCAATCAAACAGCTTTTTAATTCCTGAGATCTGTGACTTCTGAGCTCTCATGTGGCTGACAGTGCTACCTGCCCTTCCTCATCCTCCACCCTTTGCTAAAGGTACCTGAAAGGGACGTGTTGAATAATACTTGGAATAGAATGAGGCACATACTCCTTTTGAAAGATGTTTCTAAATGTTTTTTCAGCTATGTGGTGGTCATCAGTGTTGATCAGTCTCTACTCTGTCTCTGCAGTGCCTCAAAGACACTGGAGCTAACACCTAAGAAGGAAACTGGGTACTCTCTTCTCCCTTCTCATCCATTTTACAAGCACACTGAGGAGTTTTTCCTCCAACATTCTTATGGGCTTAACGGTATTGCCAAAATATAACACTTTAAAAACCCCACTTCTCTTGACTCAGGCTGCCAGTGTGGTCCTACACTTCAGTGACACAGGGTGCATCCTAGGAAATTCTACAGGAAGGATTACAGGAATTTTTGACTGGGTTTTTCAAAGGCAAGGAAGTCACTTGCAGAGCAATCTTTTTCACATGCCATTTTGGTTGTAGAGTACTTAATTCTTGAAGGTCAGATAATTGAGCTGTCTCTTGAGGGAATAAAATAATTCACTCATACAGTGAGAAAAAAATAAAAATCCTTTTTACCCTCAAAGGAATTTTGTAATATAATATTCCATGTCAAAGGTCAGTTTAGGAATGTCTCACTGTTTTGTATAACATCAGGAACAGCAGACAAAAAGGGCTAAATCAGTTTTAAAAGCAAACATGTTAACCCTCTCCCATTTTATCAATACAAATGCCCTTTGTTGAATAAACTGGAGCTAAACTGTTCATTCAGCATTAATCAGGGAAAGGTCCTCTACTAATATTCTCAAACTCCAAGCTATTTTAAAGCATCAAAGGTTAAAATGACAGGCAATACTTTACCCCTCCTGCTGCCTGTACATCTGGTGAGCAACAAAATCATGTAAAACTTCTGCACCTTTTTGTGGACTCTTTAGGTATGATTTCCCAGAAAGCTCCATGTGTATCTATGTAGACACTTGCTTTGATTTGAACAGAGCTGAGGGCAGATCTGACAATTCTATGGCTGTAAAATCACTGTGGTTCAGAGTAGGAAGGGCTATATGCTCCTGCTATGTGCATAAGAACAAAATGCTCCTTTGCCTCCCACAACCATTTGCAGGATGTAATGGACTGGGGGAAATCAGCTCTAATTCTATTTACAACATCACTCCAGCATAACAAGCTTAAGATATCCAAATGAGAGCAAGTAAACTATCCATTACTGAGAAAAAAGAATAGAAAAAATGGAAAAGCCTAAAGGAACCATTATTCCTTTTTTTTTTTTTTTGTGTGTGTGTGATTATTGGCATCACCTTTATCAAACAGTAGCTAGGAGATGCTTTTTTTTCCTAGAAAAGCAGTGACTTCCTTGCTTTATAAAGAGATTTTCTGCCTGCTCTGCAATTCTCTGTGTGCTCTTTTCACACTTGAAAGAAGGGGTGAATTTTTTTTTGTTTTTCAGTTTTAATGTGGTTTGGTATGATCTGCTAGTCGGTGGTGGTTTAGCAAGGAAAAGCTTTGGAAAGTGATGCAAGCACTCAGGTCATTTGGAGAAAAACAAGTTTGGAGAATGCCACTATTTCTGGACTGTCTTGAAGGCTTCTCCCTTTGAAGGAAATTTTCTTGGTTTGAGAATGTTTTGATTTGTATTCCTCCAACAATTCTCAACAGAAGACAGCATATTATTTCAAAGCACATGTTCACCGTAACATACTGAGGAGAACACACATTTTCAGTGCTGTTGGTGATTTCAGTGCTGTCATAAACTAATCTATCAAGCTAGTCAAGAGGCAGACGTCCACTTTTTATGTAATTAGGCTGTTCTGCCACAATATCAAAGGCATTTAGATTCTTAATTTCCTAGGGAACAGGTCTTTCTTTAAAAAAAAATAATCAGACTCAAAAGTTAACAGAAAAACTGTTTTATGCACAGTCTAATGAGACAAATCAATGAATAGAGAGATCCTTGTAGAATGCTAGAACTGCTTAGAACTGGTCTGGAAAAATTCAGCTTTGGTTGTGAATCTGTTTTCTCCAGGAAATCAGTAAAACCCCTGATTTTCCTGGGGATAGGAACAGCAAAACACTTGGAGGATCCAAAGATTCTGAGTAGTGCAGAAAGATTATCATTATATTTCAGTAAACTTGACTATTTGGACTTCCCAAACCCGTCTAGCCCCAAGCCAAAGAACAAAGCAGAAGATCCTTGCTATTTGGTTGAAGCACCACAGCTGGAACCTCAGAGGAAACAACCACAATTGTTTCCAAATGATGGCAAAACCAGTTTCCTGC